CCGGGTTCGATTCCGGTCGAGGGCATGTACCTTGGTTGCAGGCTCCATCCCCAGTAGGGGGCATGCAGGAGGCAGCTGATGGATGTATTCCTCTCATCGATGTTTCTAACTCTCTATCCCTCTCCCTTCTTCTCTGTAAAAAATCAATAAAAATAATATTAAAAAAAGAGGCTAGTTATCTAGGGTCAATTTCAGCTCTATGAGGATATGGTTTTTATTATTTTTTTGTTTTCAATTTATGCCCATTTGTCTGGCCTTCTTTCTCTCTAGCTTAGACAACATTGGTAGGAGGTGTCCCTGCTTGTTTTATTTTGTGTGTGAAATCTCTGTACTTTGGTTTGAATTGTAGCATTTAAAAAAACACAATTATAGCATTTTGCTTCCTACAATTTGAAGAGGGGCATTTCTCGTTCATTTCGATTTTAACAAACCAGTTGACTCAGTTAATTTGACTGGAGAATAAATGTGTGTGGAAAAAATTCTGAGGAGTTTGCAGTCATTCTTGATTTAAGTTGTCAGAAAGAACTGAAAACGAGTTGTAAGAAGGCCACTTCCTCTTCACAGAAGTATAAAACCACGTCTTTTTGAGGAAGTGTCTAAGAGCAAGATAGTTGCTAGAGCAATTTTCACAACAAAATCATAAGGGCAAATTTCTGAAAAACACTGGTGTAAAATTTCAAGCCTTGAGTGAGTCTGTGAATGAATATAGAAAATCATAAATTTCTCTGGGAAAAAAAGTGATTAAAAAAGTCAGAGGAAGGATCCTTTGTAAAAAGCCATTTTAATTTGGAGTCTTTTTTCTCTTAAAATTATAGTGTGCTATTGAAAGAGGAGGTCAGTTAAACATGCCTGGATACGTATGTGTATTTTAATTCTAAAATGTATTTCAGGGTGAGGTTGTACCCAGTTAAGATGTAGAGCAAAAGAAAAAGGGTCACAGGAAAATGAACATGAAAAACCTGAGTAGAATAAAGAAAGAAAAATAGGAGGAGAGAAACATACATATTTTTTTTTAAAAGGGAGAAGGAGCTAGGAGGGGGAGGGAGGTTGACCGCATTACGTTTGAGGTGCATGTACAGATGCTCTTGAACCTTAACCTGAATTGGTATTCCCCACTAGACTGTTCTTTAAGATGATTTACTTTTAAAAATAGGTTTTTACTGATTTCAGAGAGAGGAAGGGAGAGGGAGAGAGAGAAACATCAATGATGAGAGAGAATCATTGATTGGCTGCCTGCTGCACACCCCACACTGGGGATCGAGCCTGCAGCCCGGGCATGTGCCTTTGACCAGGAATTGAACCTGTGACCTCCTGGTTCATAGGTTGATGCTCAACCACTGAGACATACTGGCTGGGCTAAAATAATTTTTAATAATGTTGATCACTGCTCTTGAGCCACACTGATTCTATTTCTTGGAGTTCCAGGATGGGAAGAGCCAGAGTGGAGGTTGTACTTAAGTGGAAGAGAAATGACCAGAGCTGTGTACCCAGGAGGCTGGAAGGACTCAGGCCTCCGGGTGGCCAGGTCCAGCCTTCGGGGAGGGGGGTCCCCTCCCCCTGCCCACTCCCCCCGCCCCGCTGAGACAGAAGCCTCACAACCAGTGTAGGGGGTTATGTGGCCTAAATGCAGTTTTTACATTTTTAAGTGGTTGAAAGAGATCAAAAGAATAATCTTTTGAGACTGATGAAAATGATATGAAATTCCAGTGTCAGTGTGGATACATAAAAGTGTATCAGTGCACAGCGTCCCTCATTTACGTACGTAACGCGGGTGGCTGCTCTCCTGTGTGTCCCTCAAAGCTGAAAATACTTACTCGCTGGCCGTTTCAAGAAAAAGTTTGTCAACCGCTGCTCTAACCCAGCCCAGACGGGGGACCACGGGCTCAGAGACTGAGGTGCACACTCTGATAGCCTGAGTGTTTCCTAAGCTGCACTTGACCGAGGTTAATTGGACCGAGGGGGAATTCTTGCTTCTATTGTTTTCTCCAGGAGAAAGTAGAAGCTTAGTTAGCTTTCACGGTCTGCTTTTACTTTTTTTTTTTTTTTAAAAATCCTCTTTAAAACAATAGTTTGTTTGTATTCAGGTTTTTGCCGATCCCTCAAGGAGTCACTGTAGAGAAGGAAGACACGTGTTTATGTTTTAAATCATTTGCCTTTCAAACGGGATTCGTGAGCTCCAGATGTGGACTCAGGAACAATGAAAACGCACCTTTGCTGCTCTCAGCGAGCCAAGATGGGGGAGGAGGGCTTTTCCTCTTCCATTTGAGAGCGAAACGGAAGTCTCCGTATTTCCCAGTGTGTGCTAAAAACACTACTTTCCGTTTTTTTGAGTCGAGACTCTAGATCAGTGATGGCGAACCTATGACACGCGTGTCAGAGGTGACACGCGAACTCATTTTTTTGGTTGATTTTTCTTTGTTAAATGGCATTTAAATATATAAAATAAATATCAAAAATATAAGTCTTTGTTTTACTATGGTTGCAAATATCAAAAAATTTCTGTATGTGACACGGCACCAGAGTTAAGTTAGGGTTTTTCAAAATGCTGACACGCCGAGCTCAAAATGTTTGCCATCACTGGTCTAGATTGTCATGGGGATGGAAGTGGCTTTAAGTTTATGGGGAGTCAATTTAAACAAATACATCTTTAAAGATACACTTAATTATACAGATGGAAATGATAAAGTTAAAAAATGAGTATCAATAGTATCTACTCGTCGAATGTTTCTCATTATTCTAGAAAGTTCTGAAGCTAAGTGTGGTAATTTCTGTGTGAGTTATACGTTTGCGGGGGGTGGGGGAGGGAGGAAAAGGGAGAGAAAGAGAGGGAGCTTGTGTGTGTGGTTTCCAGTGTTCACGTCCCTGTAACTATGAAGAGCATCAGCCGCCCCCTCTTGCTCGTCCAGAGCCCTCTGAGTTATTCTAAACTCCTTCTCGGCCTGGAGTTCCTTTTGATCTTGGGAGAAGATGGGCATCTTGAACTGGTTAGTGAGGGGCAGAAGGGAGGTCAGGCAACACATGTCATCCTTCATCTGAAAGGGTAGCTCCCTTTCTCTCTTCTGATCTTCCAGAGAGAGAGAATCAGGACTGAGACACTGTGGATAAAGAAGACTTGTAAAGGAATTCATGTAGGGTGTGACTTTGGAAAACACTGACGACTCAGGACCTCCGCTGTCGAAAACCTTCCCCATTTCCCGACAATATCACCAATGACCCGGGGAGACAGGAGGCGGACGCCGGAATCCCCATTTGTCAGAGGGGAAAACCGAGGCCAGTGGTTAACTAGCTTGTTGGCTCTTAGTAAGGGCAGAGCTCTTGTTTTTCATTTGCCTGCACTTATTTATTTATTTATTTATTTATTTATTTATTTATTGACTGATTAGAGAGAGAGAGAGAGAGAGAGAGAGAAATTTGTTGTTCCATTTATTTGTGCATTTGCTGGTTGATTCTTGTATGTGCCCTGACCAGGGATCGAACCTGCAACCTTGGCATATCGGGATGACGACGACGCTGTAACCTACTGCGCACTTGTAGAATCACGTGTCACTTCTATGGTTATATTTAGGATGCAGCTGAAGCACCGTGTAAACACCCAGTGATGGAATACTGGTCTGCCGCCTGGGTAATTACGTGGTTCACGTATCGTGTCATCTTCGTTATCGCCCACTTCTGAGTTGGTCTAGAAGAGGGAGCCCATTGTGTTCAGGCCCAAAGGATGTTGCCTCACGGTTCCCCTTCGGGTGAAGCATTTGGGATGCACGTACAGAAGGCTGTGGCCCTGCCTTCTTGTTTGAAAACACTTGCAACTGATAATAGCGCTGAAATACGAAGGCTTTCCCACGCCCTCACCCCCAAATGCCTCCACAGTGTGCGCTGTTTTCTTTTTTAGAACTTCGGGCGAAGTTGCTGGTATTACTGTCCGAAGGGAACGTTGTCACAGAACTGCCCAATCACTAGACCTGTCTATTGCAGATGGATTTAGTGAGCACTTTCATTTTTCTTCTTCATGGAAGGAGTGAGCATCTTCGCTGAGCCTCTCACTTCTGGTTTTAATCCGTTTTTAGCCCCCTGATTAGTGTGTGACTTAGAAAGTTTGGAGCTAAGCCATTTCTTTGCTCTTCCCTTCAAGGGGAAAATGTTTCCACCGATACTTTTTTTTTTTCTCTTTTGTTAATCCTCACTGGAGGATATTTTTCCATTAATTTTTAGAGAGAGTGGAAGGGAGAGGGAGAGACAGAGAGAGAGAAACATCGATGTGAGAGAGAGACATCCATTGATTGCCTCAGCACATGCTCCCAACCAGGGCCCCGGATCGAGCCTGCAACTGAGGTACGTGCTCCTGACTGGAATCAAACCTGGGACCTTTCAGGACGGGGGCAGACACTCTGTCCACCAAACCAAACTGGTTAGGGCAGCACCCCTGCTTTTTAATTTAAAAATTAAAAAAATATTGATTTGAGAGAGAAAGAGAAAGAAACATTGATTTGTTGTTCCACTTATTCATGCGTTCACTGGTTGATTCTTTTAAAAAATATATATTTTTATTGATTTCAGAGAGGAAGGGAGAGGGAGAGATAGAAACATCAATGATGGGCTGCCTCCTGTATGCTCCCTACTTGGGATCGAGCCCGCACCCTGGGCATGTGCCCTGACTGGGAATTGAACTCTGACCTCCTGGTTCATAGGTCAACCCTCAACCACTGAGCCATGCCAGCTGGGCATCATTGATTGATTCTTGTGTGTGCCCTGACCGGAGATTGAACCCCAAACCTTGGTGTATCTAGAGGACTCTCTAACCAACTGAGCTACCCGGTGCCCCCAATTTTAGTATGCAGGGCCCTGGTTAACCTCCTGGTAGGTTAGTAGTAACCGGTGAATGGATGAATGAATGATCCGGTGCCAATTTCTGCTGCTGTGTTTTCTCCTCTCTCACCATCCTTCCCCGTCTCGTACTGTTTACTTTCTTTCTTCCTCCTGGAATCTTTGAAGACAGGCAGGACAGAACGTGATTAATTTTTGTTACATAAATAGCCCTGGTTAAAAAGATTGGTGGGGGAACATAGTGACAAGTGTTTTGGTGGATTTTTTTCTTGGACTTTGTTAAATATGTGTAATCAAGAAGTGTGTGGCTGAGAGCTCAGTGTGTCAGGACATGAATAGCCCTTTAACAGCCCCACCACCTTCCACACCAGTCAGGGAAATAGTACAGGAGGATGTTTGGTTATCATTTCCCCCCCATATTTGCAGGATTTTAGACAGGCTTTCACTGGGGCAGCTCTGGAAAGACTTGGATAGGAAATCACTGTTACTGTGGGTTCTTGGTTAGAATATCTGGTTCAGTCCCAAAGGGCACAGAAGATGATCCTATCACTGATCCGGGGTGGCCTAAGGGAGGACCAAGCTGGCCCCCTCAGGATGTTCAAGAGCAGCTTGGCAACGTTTACCCCAACCTCCCTCCACCTCTTTCACTCTGCCCCCAACCCCTCCCCGCTGACAGCTGTCAGTCTGTTCTCTGTATCTATGTGTCTGTTTCTATTTTGTAAGACTTGAACATTTGAAGGAAAGTAGAGGGATCTATAATGTCTTTACATATAGTCTCACTTAAAATATCTTCAATTAATGAAGCCAAATAACATTTCTTTCATGGTGTCTGTGTCTCTGTCGGACTGTTCTAGTGAGTCGATACTTGATGGAAAGTTGGTTGTGTGTGTGTGAATGTTCAGACAACGTATTGCGCCAACATTTGAAACCGTATTTGGTGCCCAGGCGATGTCCTCTCAGATAAGTCGAATCAGACGCCTATGTGGCCCTCCTTCTATTCCACTCTGTGCAACTGGTCGGATAGGAGCGGGCGGTGAGAATTGCTGTTTCTCATTAGATTTTAAATTTGAATTAGAATTCTGTGTATTTGAAAGCTGATTTCTATCTTGAAAGATGCTGATTCTGCTTTTATAATGGATGCTTGGCAAACCAGTGGCTTGAGGGAGCCCATCTGACTGCCACTTAAACTGAAAATAGATACCGTATCTGCGTACATTACAAAACCAGAGGTGAGACCCCAGATGTAAAATCCACAACGAGGCGCATTTGAATGTGCACCGGTGAACGGATTGGCCTAGCTTTTCTGGGAGTGTTCCACCAGCATCAACAGTGGTTCTTCGAAGAGGATGCTGGAATCCGATGCCTGGTGCGGCTGGTTCCTCTCGCTCACGTCTAGACCAAACAGAGACACGTCCTCTCTGCCAAGCCTTCTGTGACGTCACAGGCAGGCCCCACAGACAGCGGCTGCTTCTTGCACTTTTCCTTTTCTGGCTGCAGGAGATTTAACCTCTTCCTCAACTGCCGTATCCATTTTTTTTTTCGGTTGGAGGATATATACTTCTACATTATTTAGGACATCTAGTACTTTAATTATTTAAAAAAATAGAGAAGTTTTAGGTTCACAGCAAAGCTGAGCAGACAGTACAGAGTTTCCTTATACTGCCCGCCCCTCTCCACCCTCCCCACTGCCTTCACCTGGAACCTGAGCGGTACGTGTGTCAGAATCCATGAACCTCCATCGACTCATCATTGTCCTTCAAAGTCCATAGTTCACAATAGCGTTCACTCTTGATGTACATTCTATGGGGTTTGACAAATAGTTAATGACATGTATCCACCATGATATTATCATACAGAGTAGTTTCACTGCCCGGAAAACCTCTGTGCTCTGCCTATTCACTCCTCCCTCCCCCAACCTCTGATCTTTTTTAAATTATTATTTAATACTAGAGTCCCGGTGCATGAGATTCATGCACTCAGGGGTGGGGGGTCCGTCAGCCTGGCCTGCACCCTCTCGCATCCCAGGAGCCCTTGGGGGATGTTCAACTGACAGCTTAGGCCCGCTCCCGCTGTGGGACATCCTTGGCACTGCAGCGGGGACGGGAGAGGCTCCCGCCACCACCACTGCACTCACTAGCCATGAGCCCTGCTCCTGTGGGAGCACTGACCAACAGGGGGCAGCTCCTGTGTTGAGCGCCTGCCCCCTAGTGGTCAGTGTGCGTCATAGTGACCGGTCATTCCGCCATTCGGTTGATTTGCATATTACCCTTTTATTATATAGGATATTTTTATTGATTTCAGAGAAGAAGGGAGAGGGAGAGAGAGACAAACATCAATGATGAGAGCGAATCATTGATCAGCTGTGTCCTGCATGCCCCATACTGAGGATTGAGCCCGCAACACAGGCATGTGCTCTGGCCTGGAATGGAACCGTGACCTCCTGGTTCATAGGTCGACGCTCAACCACTGAGCCACGCCAACCGGGCCCCTGACCTCATTATTGTCTCCACAGCTTTGCCTTTGCCTGAATGTCATACGGTTGGATAGGTTCTTCTGAAAAGGGATGTAATAGGATGAAGGGCTTTTGGAACTTTAGGGGATCTTAGCGATTTCCCCGTCTGTGGCCTTTTCATGCTTCCCACACGTGTTCAGCTTCACAGGAACAGAGAACTTTGCAGTGTTTAAAATCAAGTTAAATATTTTTGGGAGAAATACAGAGTAGTATGAAAAAGGTTAAGTTGGAGGAAGTAGAAAGAAATCCTTTTCATCCTTAGGAACCGCTTAAAGAGGCGGTTCTCAACCTGTGGGCCGCGACCCCTTTGGGGGTTGAACGACCCTTTCACAGGGGTTGCCTAAGACCATCGGAAAACACATATATAATTACATATTGTTTTTGTGATTAATCACTATGCTTTAATTATGTTCAATTTGTAACAATGAAATTGGGGGTCACCACAACATGAGGAACTGTATTAAAGGGTTGTGGCATTAGGAAGGTTGAGAACCACTGGCTTAAAGGATTCTTAAGCCAACTTTGGTTGCCATTTTGATAGCATTTAGGGAGATCTTTGGATTGCATACAAAGAGATTGCTTTCAAATGGAGAGAAATTGTATTAAACAGAAATATGCTCAATTGCATGGCAAGGTGGAACTGGACTCTGTTGAGGAAAAGTGGTTTGGAAAGGATACTGACTTTATTTTATTTTATTTTTTAAAATATATTTTATTGATTTTTTTACATAGAGGAAGGGAGAGAGATAGAGAGTTAGAAACATCGATGAGAGAGAAACATCGA